GGCTGTCCGTCATTGTCGACCAATTCAGCTAAAAAGCTGATGTATCCGATGGCTAGCCTTAAAGTATCCACTTTTGAAAGCCTTTTCTCATAGGGAAGCGTTGGAATGTGTTCTCTCAGGCCCTGAGCAGAAAAGAGTAGCGTTTTAGTGATTTTAAGTTATAAAACTTATTTTTCACTCAAATCTACTTGTTACAATAGTCAGCGTAGTACAAATAACGTTAAGATTCATTTTTAAAAAACAAAATATCCAATTATTTTCAATAGATAGATATATATGAATCAAGAACTCAAAGAGTAGCTTATTTCTGAAACTGAAATGTTATGTTAAATGTGAAAACCAATGCATTACTCAGTTTCAGAAATAAGCTACTCTTTGAGTTCTTGATTCACATATAGTTTTTTGTATTTAATTAACATGTTTAAATGTGAACGTCAAATATGACTGTCCATTTTTGCAAAAACTCTGATTAGTAAAAACTAAATATTTGTTTCATAAAAAATGTATATTAATAACAGTCATTAGTATATGAATGAGAGTTATTTGCGAATTATGTATTTCAGGGATTCCTGATCATAAATCTTAGTTATTAACAAACAGTTCAATGAATTTCTCATTTGATTCACTGTCGGACTCAAACAAAATCAATTCATACCTCAAAGGCATCATTAATTGATTGCATTCTTCTGCGTTCCCTAAGATTGGCGGCATGTCTTTGCTGGACCTGTTGGTGCATCCCTTTCCTCTTGCGATGCCTTTTCTGAGGCTGTCCGTCATTGTCGACCAATTCAGCTAAAAAGCTGATGTATCCGATGGCTAGCCTTAAAGTATCCACTTTTGAAAGCCTTTTCTCATAGGGAAGCGTTGGAATGTGTTCTCTCAGGCCCTGAGTTATTAACAAACAGTGAATTTCATTCAACATTCAATGAATTTCTCATTTCATTCACTGTCCGACTGAAACAAAATCAATTCATACCTCAAAGGCATCATTAATTGATTGCATTCTTCTGCGTTCCCTAAGATTGGCGGCATGTCTTTGCTGGACCTGTTGGTGCATCCCTTTCCTCTTGCGATGCCTTTTCTGTCTGAAGTTTTCTTGATCGGGATGTGATCTCATGTCTGGCGAGTGGTTTGGCGATGGATACGGAGATTCAATGAGTTGATCACTGAAATAATCGTCTGACTGTGGACTCAACAGAGCTGATCCCGAGTCACAGAGAGTGAGTCCGTTTCCATGATTATGAATATCACTACAATTAGTAGCGTTTGGAACGACATAAGAGTCGATAGCACCTGAGCTATGGTTGAAAAGACTAGAATAGCTCTGATCTGGTGTGAGAGCTAACGGTGCAGCACTTGGTTGGCAGGGCTGGCAGTGTTGGGAATGTTGTGAGTGCTGGTGATGACCGAAATGTTGTTCCAGAAACTGTCGGTTCACATTAGAGAGATCGATATTTTCCATCTCCAGAAGTAGGTCTACCAAACAGACTCTACAAACTCTACACTCTCTACAGACTGTGCTTTTCCCACAAACACTACACAACTCGCGGTAAGACTCGTTAATTCAGTTCTCTTTTATATGAGAACTACAGCTACGGATCGTCTTAAATAAGACTATAGTATTGATGATATGTGTAGTGCACTGGTATTGTTCAACAGTTATACCTATAGCTTATCAATTGTATTAACGCCAGTATAGAGCAAATCCCTGTTTCCATATCATACACATCCATGTATGAAATGTATTATCGGCTCATTGGTAGCGCACGCGTGCACTCCGAGCCTCGTCTTTGGCCGACCCTTCAAATACACCTGAAGTGCTGGAAGTGGTGCCACTGCTAGAGATGTGATCCGCCCTTCTCCTCAATTCAGAAGCAATCGATTTATCATTTTTTCTCTCATTATTTACTCAATTATTATATGTTTTATATGACTATTAAGACGAGAGAAGTCTATAATTGAGAATCACTTCCAATTGACTCTTATTAGCAATTCTTTTGGCAATAGAGTGCCAGTCGTGTGGCCGACACGTGTCTGAAACAGCTATCAGAGCTCCGGCACTAATAGAGTTGACGTTTGTTTAAGTTATCATTCAGTCATCAAAAAAAGTTTTAACTTATTTGTATTGTTATTAAATCTCAATGAATGCACCGTTTTGTTCAACACAACAGATTATGTCAATTGAATGAATGCTTCAGTTTTGAGATTATCGTAAGCGTAGGAAGTATTGTAAGATTGAAAGCAATACAACTCACCTCTGCTTCAAATGTCAAGTATTTGCTCACAATTATTGTCATTAGAGATGAGATGAGGAGTGAGTTATAGACTCTATTTGAAGACGAGTCTCGAGACTGGCGTCTTCTCGATATAATTTTCAAGACGTTTTCAAAACAACAATCATTTGCTGTTTATCTTCAGATAAGTTTGTAAAACAAAAAACAAAACTCAAAATCTTATGTTAGTTTAACATAAGAACAGGTGTTTTAAAGTGATTTTTACCAATCGTTACAAGAGTTTTGTATCACTTTTACATAAATTCATATCTAATTTATTTATATGTTTCACTTGAACTGAGTTTCGTATTAATAAATGTTTAGTAAATTGTAAAGCAATTGCTTTGATATAAGGGCTCACATGTAGGGCTCACATGTCAGCGGTTATGACAATTAGACTGAGTTTGTCGGACGCGTGGCAGACACTGTCCCACTCGACTGTCAACTATTCTCCAGTGGTGTCTGTGCTATATTCAAAGCATAACACCCCTCCCCTCCCCATTGCCCTCGCAAACAGTCTTTTGTGTCGATTGTCTCTTTCGGGCACCAAATCAATGAGTAGTTGGAGTCAAAAGAGTGGGGATATCAGAGTCGGCACACGTGCGGAGCGCTCAGGATATAAAAGGCACGTTAGCTTAACGAGAAACTAATAAGTGTGACACACGAGACCTACACAACTATTATCAAACACATTTTGTCCAAACTTTCCCTCAAGTTTTGTTTTAGTTTAGTTTAGTTTTAGGTTTAGTGACTAAACCTATAGACCACAATACTTGCCTCGTTTGGCTTACTTTCAACTAATTATTGTTATTAATATTAAATTTAAATTAAAACAGAAAGTTTTTGATACAAATATCGTATGTAATGATTGCTAACTAAGAATCTTTTGAATTATTATTATAATAATATATTATAATAATAAATTCAACAAAATTATTTAATGTTTTTATTAAAAATAAAATTATTTTTATATTTATAATACAGTATAATATTTATGTAAAAGTAAAAATTCTATTAATTAACAGTAATATTAGTTTAAATTTAACACTTAAGTACTTGATTACTTTATGATAAAAGTAATCAAGTTTAATCAAGTTATATAGTCTTTTTAAAATAAGTTTTTTTGTTTCTAGTTAACAATTTGTTTAATGTATTACATAATTAAGTTATCATAATATATTTTGTTAATTACATGTTAATTGTAGAGTAGGAGACATAGAAAATTAAAATTGATCAAGAACATATACTCTGTATTAAACAAAGTGAAAGTTTGGCTGACGAAACAAAAATGTAGACTACAATTGAATTGAAGTACAGTATACTGTAGTTTGAAAGCATAATGAAGTAGTTGTGGCCGAAATACTGTATCAGTGAATGAATGCAAACTTTAAAATGTGATTCTCTTTACAAAAGGGAATTAGTTTTGGAGGCAATGCTTGTAAAGAGTGTTGAGAATGACTGGCAATGAATGCATCCGACGACTGACCGACTCGTAAATGAGTGCAAACTAGTCGTCAAAGTTATGATTAGCATAATTGAAATTTGATATCCTTTTGATGGTAGGACTCGTTTTGAAATAACTGTAATCTGACTTTTGCTATAAAGACATCAATGCTTTTGTCAGCGCTTCTGGATTTGTAACACAAATTTTAAATCTCAGGGATTATAACCCCATTGTGTTAGTGTATGACTAACTGTGCGCCCACTTGTAAAGCATAGCACATAATGTTGCACCTGGTAGGAGGCTTAACCAAACCTATTCATGAAAGTTATATTATTTCTTTTATATCAATATCGCAAACAATAATAACAATCAATTTATAGTTTAAATATCTTTTTGCTGAAAATTCTTAATCGCTTTCAAACGCTATAGGAATTGGATTGAAGTGAACGCTATTATAATAACTAATACTTTATGGGACTCTATGTGTGCATAGCTTTCAAGTCTATGCGGTATTTAATGTTAATTATGTTATTACTGTTTATTAACAACAGTTTTATAACTATAACAATAAAAATATATAATCTCTTAAGACAAACAATATATTTTATAAAAATAATATATTAAAGCAATAAAATATAATATATTCAACGAGATATACGACATGAATTGGTGTAATAGGCATAAGGTTTATATAAAATATTAAGAAATTCTTGAATGAATTGAACACAATTCTGGCGTCCATTGTATGTCTCTATGAAAACATGAATTTAATGTGTTTTGTGATAATTTAGTTGAGTTGAGACCGACTCTACTCTATATTTAATTCTTGCAATGAAAGCAAAACAACACAACACCTGAACTAAAGGCACAAAATTCCCAGAACTCCACTCATGTTATGGATTATCGATTGTCACTCAATGTGTTTCAATTCAAGTCTTCTTTTTTCTATAATATTATCTATTTTTATGTTATGTTCACATATTGTACAGAATTTGACTACTTTAAAATAGTTTTATGTTATAGTCGGTATTTGTTGTAATTTAAAATATACTATAATATACAATAAAATTAGAATCATAGAATATTAAAATTAAGAATTATTTTATGTAATTAATGATAAATATTTTTATACATACTATTTTATATACAGTATACATATTATTATTGATAGATATTATTGTATTATGTATGTATTCTTAATTTTATGATCCATAAAATTATATGAATTCTAATAATTTATACATTTTAACGTTAAATAAGCTTAATAAAATAATTAATACTAAGTGTATCACACGTTAATTTATAACAATAATTAAAAACATAAATCAAATTATCGTTAATATTGTAATAAAGACCTGGGTTTAATCTCAAAAACTTCTTTTGCCCTGCTCATAATATGATTTATACATTCACAGACAGGCGTTAGTGATTTTAAATAAAAATTGATTCATCTGTTTATTTCCATAAGTTTATATGAAATATAGCTAATATTACTAATAAGCTGACCAAGCTCTAACGCCTGTCTGTGAATGAATTATTCATATTATTTTATTATTATTTAATTTTAAACGTTACTTTCTAATCAATTAATATTTAATCTGAAAACTAAGCATTTTTATATATTTTGCAATTATTGGCAGATAAGAATAAATGATAAATAATTAAAAATGATTTATTTAAGCAATATACTAATGTATCATTTATAATTTATAATGAATAGAACTTATATTATAAGAAATAATAAAAATATTGAAAATAATAAAGTTGTAAAATGTTTTCATTGTTACCAGTATATTTTAATATTTAAACATTTTAAAGTTAAAATAAATTCCACATAAACCATTACTTACTAGTTGATTTTAAAGTATATTTACAAATTGATTATCAAAGTCATTGAAAATGATTACTTAATAGTTATGTTGCGAAAGATTTCTTTTTTAAAGAAATGATTTTCAAATAAGCAAAGAATAAATCCTTGAATTTATGATTCATTTAGGATAATAATCATAAAAAACAAATTTGAGAATTTATTGAAAATTTCAAAGCGATGTAAATGTACAGTATGAGTTAAGTGTACAGAATAATGAAAAATAGACAAACAATTGTATGTATTGTAGAGTATAATGCATTAAGAGCTAATTGTGCCCCGGTATAAGTGTGTGCTCCCAGTGCTCACTTGGCAGCTGTGTTTTTTCAATCCCAATCCAGTCTAACAGAGAATATGATTGTGAATGAAAAGGACAATACATTTGGAGAAGTGAGCCAACACTGAGACTAATGCAGGCATTCATTCAATTTTTTTTGGAGCCGTTGGCACTAACATTAGAGCAAAGCATTAGCCAATGCTAGAACTCGGACTTACATCAAAATCAACACTTTTGGGATTTAAGCAAATATTTGTTTTGCAAATTTTAAATTAAATATCAAATTATATTTAATGTATAAATTGTAATCGCGGTTTTCCACTCATTAATCATTTTTCTATCGCTAGTTTCGATTCAGATTTGAAACATCATTTGAAATATTTATATATCTTTTGCATCTTTATGTTAGATATTCTGCATAACTTTAAGTCAATACTGAATCTCACTGTTTGGATACCAGTAAGAACTGGTCGGAACTGTTTGTCATTTATCTCCTTCAATGGCAAATCAAAGCCTTGAATCACAATCACAAAGATTTAATAAATTCACAAATTTTTTATTTCAATCGATTGTCTAATAACTGTGAAATGTAATAAACTTGCAACTATTGTAACTATTACTGTAGTTAAGCTTATGTCTTATGTTTTGAGTATTTTTACTGAAATTGTAAGCGTTTATTAGAAGTGCTTAAATTCTATATAAATACTAAATCATTTGTTAGTAAATCTCTAATACATTTGAGATATTGATAACATTGATATTGATATTGATAACAACTTATTCATAGCTCATAATATTGATTGACAAATATCTTAATCGTATGTTTTATAACAGTTGAAAACTTTTCAAACTTATTTATGAAAGGATCGACAAATTTATATAAATATCTGGTTATTGATAACAACTTATTCATAGCTCATAATATTGATTGACAAATATTTTAATCTTATGTTTTATAACAGTTGAAAACTTTTCAAACTTATTTATGAAAGGATCGACAAATTTATATAAATATCTGGTTTATTTCATTTAGAAATTCTTTGATTTCATTGGTTTTAAGTCGATTTTCTTTTATATACTATTCATTTAAATCGAAGTTTTAGAGAATTTCATTTTAAGTTTGTTCATAGTTTTGTATAGACATAAGAAATTGACATTTATTGCAAAGAATGGATCACTTGAAAGGAGTCAAAAACTTAGACAATCTGTCGCTTGTAATCCATGGCCCGGGAAACCTAAAACTGGAACAAACACATAGTTTTGTATAAACATAAGAAATTTACATTTATTGCAAAGAATGGATCACTTGAAAGGAGTCAAAAACTTAGACAATCTGTCGCTTGTAATCCATGGCCCGGGAAACCTAAAACTGGAACAAACACCTATTAAAGAGCATTTGGAGGATAATGGTAATCAATGGCACATTCATTGAGTCAATGTATTAATTCTTTGAATTTCATTTTTAGAATGCCTTCTCGAAACACACAGGTACAGTATGTTTTTCAGTTGCAACACTATCAATTTAAAATTTTGAGCTAGATAATATTGAACATTTATGAGAAATAATCTAACTTACTTAAAAAATAAGTTAGAATTGAAGGGAAAATGATTATAACACTGTATTACAATTATATTATATTTAGTACTGTAAGAATACGCATAGTAAAGCTTAGAATAAAAATATTAATGAAATGTTTGATTGGAAAAGTTGTGGATTTTGTGGAACTGACATCCACCTAATGGACGATGGTCGTATGGCAGACTTTATTGTTACGGAGCCTCTGGTGATAGGACATGAGACTTCTGCCCGAGTCATAGCCGTTGGCAAAAACGTAACAAACTTGAAAGTTGGAGACCGAGTGGCCGTCGAAACAGCCATTCCCTGTCAGACGTGCGAGTATTGTCGCGACGGGAAATACAATTTGTGTCCCATTTCTAACACTCAGGCCAGGGGTCTGCCGCCAAAGCATGGATGTCTTCGACGCTATTACGCACATCCGTCCGATTTCTTATTCAAGAGTGCGAGTACTGTCGCGACGGAAAATACAATTTGTGTCCCATTTCTAACACTCAGGCCAGGGGTCTGCCGCCAAAGCATGGATGTCTTCGACGCTATTACGCACATCCGTCCGATTTCTTATTCAAGTAATACATTTGTAACCCATTATTAAACCTAAAGGATATGAATGATATGATTATAGACTGCCGGACAGCGTGTCGTGGGAAGAGGGGGCGATGTGTGAGCCCTTCTCCTCATATCAGGTGCGGACGTCTGCTGAGTTGTATTCGCGGCCAGTCTTGCATAACCAAACGCCCCGGCCACGCTACCCTTACTACCGGAAAAACACGCGATTCCGAAAGCCACGGTTGTTTCACAAATATACAGATCTGAACAAAATTCGTTTAGCATTGGCCGATAAATTAGGTGTCGATAAGTCCTATGCAATCGATCCCAAGACTTTCAATGACGTGGAAATGGCGCAGACTATCATCAAAGACATGGGATGTAATCCTGATATTAGTATTGAGTGTACGGGCAATGATA